ATTAAATTGTCGGAAAATATGCATACAAAAAATTATGAGCAATATTTATTGTAGTCCCACCCTGTATTATACACTCCTGATTGAAATTTCAAAATAAATTTATTTACACTGCATTGGACATGGAAAGTTTGGTTTTTGTACCAAATTGCACCTTTTTATCACATGAAGTTTCGGAAGTAATCAAGAAATATCATCTTCAGGATCCCATTTCAGGGGGTTGTAGCTTCCTCAGGAGAAATTTATCGACTCATGTTCATTGAAAGTTTTCTCTCTATTTTTGGTCGTAAAAGCCGCTGGTGAAGTTTGGCAGGCTAATTTCGGGACACCCTGTATATAGATAGGGTCAACATTTCACCCGTAGGTAATTCATTTTGTTCTCAAATTTTCCATCACTATACCAAGTCCCGTTTTTGGAGTTACAAATCAAAAAATGTTCATTCTATCCCGGTTTCTTTCATAGAACCAAGAGATATATATTGCACAAATTTACTTCATTCTAGAATCAAAAACAATGTTCGAAATATTGTTTTCTGAATGATAGCTATTTTTTCAATAAGCATAATATCCACACACCATGTATACCTTCCATCAAATAATAATCTGCTCAATAATGTTCTACAGCATAAAAAACTCTGAAGAACATCGAATCCATTTCACACAACACATTTGCAATTTGCATAATACTCAAAACAAAAGACACCGATGAAAAACATATGGCAATCATAATATATTGCACATCACGTTCGAGTACCGAAACATATTGGAAAACAGACGATCGCCTTCTGCCGAGTTTTCGATTCAGTTAATTTCCAATTATCCATATTAATTCATTGTTCAACGTGTGTATGTTATGCAGATCGGATAAAGGCGCGTTTCCCTAGCTGCGTGTTGTTGAACAGGCGCTTGAAGCGGCAAATCTCAGAAGGCGGCAAATCTTCGCAAATAATTTTTTTTTTCACAAACGTCGAAAAATGACAAGGTTCGCGCATTGATATCAAATTGCGAAGTGACACATTGTCTCAGTTTCCTCCCTAACAACATAGGAATATCCTAGGTACGTCCCTTTTTTGTCCCGCGTTACAAGGACATGTTTGGGGCATCCAGGGGGTGTCCCGCAGTGGTTGTCCAGTGGACATCCCGCCCGGTATTTCCCTAGGTTATCCTATTCGTGTCCCTGAAATATCTGATATACATTCACATCAGAGTCATTGAATTTCATCAATGTATTGAGTTGATTTTTTTTGAAAATGTTTCTTCTTCTTCTGGATAATAATTGTAATGAAAATAAGGAATATAGTGTCAGAACTTTTCAAGAAATGCAAACAGAAATCGAAAATGCATAATACCCCTCATTGTTGAACACCCAAGAATGATAACTATTATACATGGAATCCAAACAAAGTTGTATTTATTCAGGTTTCAGTTTTGTCCCTCGAATGTCCTTTTTGTCTGAAAGTGGACGTCCCTGTATCCCTAGTATGAAGTCCCTAGGATTTACTTGTGTTGCTAGGGCTACATTACCATGATACCTTGCACAAAAACAATGCGCGAAGTACCTACTTATTGTCCTCAATCAAGCAAACATCCTCGAAATCATTCATTTCTGAATGTTCAACAATAGCTTTGTTTTATCTCTTGTAGCGCACGAAAGGAAATTCCTATTTGAATATTTCTGCTGTCCGCGAGAAGAATATAACACGTCGCTAAGAAGACGCGCCTTAAGCTCTTACTGTAATTACCCATGGAATAATTAATTTTATGAATTGCACGTCTGATTGAGATTGTGGATGAAATTGGAACTTTCACTTGATTATTACTGTACGGAGGTTTAGTTCTCTTCATACACTATCATTAATTTCAAATAGCATTGTTTGAATGATAGGCACAAAAATAACCTATTTACAGGATCTCGTGAACTCAGGGTCCCTAGATCGAATCCCCGGAAGAACAGAAACTTTTCAAATTCATGATGCGAGTTATAAATCCTCAAGTTTGGTATCCTCGGCTAAAGATAGTTCCGTACTATTCACATCAAGAGTTATAAATCCTCAAGTTTGGTATCCTCGGCTAAAGATAGTTCCGTATCATTCACATCAAGAGTGCTGTACGTATTGAGTTAGTAACAAACCCTACTCAAAACAGCAGTAAACATATTGATGTAGTTGTGATCATGAGAGATGAAGTGGATGGTGTAGCTATGAAGGTGGATGTCGAAAACTACTAGCCGACAAGACGTAACCGGAAAACTCTGAGAGCTATGCGCTACTGTTTCTAGCTACACAAAATGAAACAAAAAAATCATTCGAATTCATTTACTTACGACTGAATATTGATACTTAACTAACTCTGCATGAGAGTTTTAGGATTCCTCTTATGGAAATTATTTTCAAGATATCTCACTTTTCCCCACCAAAACTCAATCAAGTTATCGAATGATATATTTTTTCAGTGCCTCTTGAGCTGCTTCGACTTCAGGATGTTCTCTGAATATTACAGGATATCCCTTTGGGAACCAGAACATAAAAAAATACTGAATTAGGATTTTTCAAATAGTGCTATAGTAGCATTCACCGCTTCCTGAATATTTTATGTCTTTTTCATTATGACTTATGAACATCCTTCGATGACAAAATATGCTCCACTGATGTATCCTGCCTAAATATCACCTTGTAAGAATGTGTATTAGACTTACATGACATGTAACATCAATGTATATCAATGGTTGCTCTATTGGGGTACAAGCCGAAATGATTTTTCATATTTTTTCCGGTACAACAGAACATACAGGGTGCTCGGAACTAACGATCTACACCTACAGGGTATCAGTTGATTTGTTTGAAAGGAACACCCTGTACTTCATTCCACAATCAGTTATAGATTTCAAAAATGGATCCAACAATAAAGGGTAGATAGGGTTATGTCGAACGACTATATACGAAGACATAGCAGATTATCTGATAGTATGTTCAATGTGGGTGGCTCAATGAGCTGGTCTGTGCTGTGTTGTTTTTTTTTTTTATAGAATATCTTGTATTCTCCATGAACATCACCGTTACTGTCAGTCTTGAAAAATATTCAAAGGGTTACCATTTTATTGAATCAGATTTTCAATGAATGGATTGGTAGACACGGGCCTATAAGATAGGAGTTTCGATATCACTTCACTCGATTTTTTTATGGGGCTATCTGAAGAATGAAGTTTACAAAGATAGGTCGAACAATATCGGAGAATTGAGAGGAAAATTCATTGGAGTGATTGATAACAACAATGCAAGCAATGTATTAGATATTGTCTCTGTAAACTTTTTTTAAGAGAATCACCCTATGTCTTGATAATGATGGTTGGCACAGATAGAACAGTTACTATAGTTCATTTGTTGCTACCTAGTTCTCTTATCATATCTTCAGTTCTCGGTAAAACTGAATGGTGTTGTGTTTTATGTGTATATACATTTTTGGTCGACCGAATTTGTACTGCTCGTTTTCCTTCTGAAATTACTTTGAGATATGGGTGATTTTCCAGCTCTATAAATATTCAACATGCAACAATAATTATTATATCACTCATGTTCTAGATTGACACTGATGGTGACGTTTATGGAGGATACATGATATTCTATTGAAACAAAACAATACAACCATTGCAGAACAACTTATTGAGCCACCCACATTGAGTGTGATATACAGGATGATTCAGGTTTTGAGGTACAAACTGAAATGAGTGATAGATCTCATCATTTCAATCAAGATAATTCATACAAAAATGAGTCCGATCTCAATGAGAAGCGGAGCTACAGTGGGTCGAAGTTTTTCAATTGTTTTTTATTGATTGAAATATCTTGCTCAATTATGTAGATATCAATTTGAAATTTGGTGTGGTTGAAACTTCCTAGAATATCATCCTTTGAAGCATTTTGGAGATGTTCAATATTTACAAGGTTTCACGTTTTTGGGGGTAGATGCTTCTTCATCCATTATAACCTTTTTCGTCGCCTCTGACATTTTCTAGTTACTGAATTGGGTGGTTCGTTTAATTTAGAAGCTTTTTTCACTTCCCATTTTTTTTCGAGAAACGAACCGTTCTCGAGAAAAATAAGCATATCCTTCCTCAAACATGCTAATTTGGCCTGTTTCGCCTAAATTGTAATATTGTACAAAATTCTTTGAAAATGCAATTCAAAGTACTGAAATTGCAATTTTTAGGATTAGCCAATCTGCTTACAACCAAATATTGCAATTTCAGTACATTTCATTGCATTTTTTGTTCAAGAATCAAATTTAAGCAGAACCTTTAGGCAAAATCGAGGTCAAAATTGTCATATTTCAGAACGGATATGATAATTTTTCTCGAGAACGGTTCATTTCTCGAAAAGAATGTTTGGGGAATAAAGAGACAACTACCCCCGAAAATGTATTACCCTGTAAGAATCAAAAATCTTCAAAATGATTCAAATGACGGTCTAGTAAGTATTGACCACACGAAATTTCAGATTGATGTGTCCGAAACTAAGCGAGATATTTCAATCAATAGAAAAAGAAAATCAAACTCCGCTAGTTGATCAAAATGATAAGTTTTATATCGGCTTTATTGTTTTAGAAATTGTTCTTAAATGGTTCAAATCCCAAAATTGGTTCAAAAATGACTGTGCTAAAGGAGGAGACATTTAGGGTGGATCACCCAGTACATTGCGTGTACTTGGTATAGAAGAAAGGAATACATTCCTGGACGACAATATCAAAGCATTGAAGTCTGGTAATGTGCTTTTACTACGAGGTACAAACTATTTCACCTGAAATCAGAATAACTTATCCACTGTCAAAAATGTATGTAAAAATCTGGTAGGGACCGATTTTGAGAAATCATTCTTGATCCCGAACGATTTTTTTCAGCAACGGACTAAAATGCAAGATTAGCGTATTTCGGGGTCGAAAAATGCTCCAAAAAAGCAAACATTCTTAAGAGATTGCAGAGAAATTTATTTTTTTATATTTCCTCCTACCTGTCAATGCAGAGACTGGTTTCTGTGGTGTTTGCTCGAAGAGGTCTTTCACTCTGTTATAGATGACATCCTGAGGATTGTGGAGATAAAAGGATTCTCCAGTAAGACTTCCACCACTGACACTACCATCCGAACTGTTGGATACACTGAAAAAGAAAAACGCATTGAACAAAGTATTTGGAGACACTCAATAAACAAAATTCAATGAACAAAGTATTCGGAGATACGGAATAAAAAAGCACAATGAACAAAATACTATACCATGCAAGTGATAACATTTCCAGTTGAGCAGATATGTCCAATCATGTTTTTGTATTCATTCAGAAGTTTTCCGATGGAAATTGAGTTAGCATCTGCTCAGAACTAGCAAAAATGCACCAATATACAGGGTGATCCACGGTGGATGGCCTATTAGAAGTATCTGGAGAACGAAGAGACAGAACATCCTGAAAATTGGGTTTCTTCGATAATTGAACATTCTCTATCCGTCTAAAATATTTTCATCGATACAGTGTTGCCACTTCTATCAGAAACAACTAGCAACTTTGTTATTGCAAATGGAACACCCTGAATTTTATTGCATTTTTAGATTCTTTCTGAGAAGCTGATTTCTTCAATGCATCACACTTGGGGTCTAGCAGGAATGATTACAGAGATATAGGGTGTTCAAAATCGAGATTTTTCAATTTTAGGATTTTTTTTTGTCGAAACTATTCATTATCGATCAAAACGGCTTACATGTCCCTATCTTAACTTTTGATTGACTATCTACTGGAATTTGATTGAAAAAAATACAGGGTGCTCCAAGATTCAGAATTCTGATCACCCTGTATCTGTTCTAATTAAATGCCAATAGATAGTGGATCGAACGTTAAGATAGGGACATGTGAGCCGTTTTGATCAATAATGAATAGTTTCGACACAAAAAAATCCTTTTTTGAACACCCTATATCTCTGTAATCATTCCTGCTAGACCCCAAGTGTGATACATTGATGAAATCAGCTTTTCAGGGAGGATCTAAAAATGCAATTAAATACAGGGTGCTCTATTTGAAATAACGAAGTTGCTAGTTGTTTCTGATAGAAGTCGCAACACTGTATCGATGAAAATATTTTAGACGGATAGAGAATGTTCAATTATCAGAGCATCCTAATTTTCAGAACGTTCTGTCTTTTCGTTCTCCAGATACTTCTAATAGACCATCCACCGTGGATCAGCCCGTATACCGGGTAGGCCTCTTTTATTTTCAGAACCCATATGAAATACAGAGTTTATTGAGAGAAGAGGAACTAATGCAGAAACATTGTGCTTCTCTAGACTACCTTCTGGTAGTGTTCATAACACAAATATTGTTTATATTTATATATTTTCGAATGTATTGATACAATTTTGTTGATTATCGAGATGAAAATTCCTTCAATACCTATATTCGTTCCAAGAAATGATGAAAAAATTTATACCTGATTGACGATGAAACGAGTTGTATTTTTCGAAATTATTTCATGAATAAATAATATTCTCAACAACACATTTTTATTTTTCCTGTGAATCAATTATTGTGTCATGCAACTAACGATACACCAATGAATTAACAAGTGCCAGAATAGTATGTAGTGTCATCCTAGGAAATTATATTATGGCTAGCGATGTCACTTTTATGAGAATAGCACGCTACCTTTTAGGGACTTCCCTATTTGAAACAATTCAAGTCCGAATGTTCTGGACCTAAAAATTGTCCTTGGGACATACCATTCCGTACGTATATGCCGTTTCCGAGCAAGGTCATCTATGGAATGTCTGAGCTGTTACAGATAATTTCGAGTGTCCTAGAAATATTTTATCCTTCAGACATCCCACGTCGTTGATGAGATATAATTTTGAATATTCCTTTAGAGATACCTATCGAATGTCTCAAGTAATACATATTTTGGCATGACTTCAGATCATATGTGATGGCTAGAACAATCATGAAATGGACGCCTCTTATATATCCAGGATCGTATAAAATTCGAAACGTCTGTCGGATGTCCAAATTGGTGAATTAACCTGTTAAGACTTCGGAAGGAACTCCTATAGATGAACCATAGGTAAGTTATAAGAACGAGAATATCCTTCTGGAAATATAATTTCATAAGATGTCATAAGTAAAATCTGTTATGGACGTTCCAAGGAAGGCTTCAGAATGTCCTGGATACGATTCGGAATGTGTCCTACGGGACATTCATCGGTGGTATACATTGGCATCAGGACTTCAGATAGACATCCTATATGAATATCGTTCACGCAAGCGAATGATCATTTTTTCTTTCAATGTCCTAGAAATAACGTCTCACGGACGTTCCGGTCGTTACGTATAATATGTTGTCCCTGCGAGGACGTTACCTTACTTCTCGTTAATGTCCTTTACGTGAGTCCATTGGACATCCTTTAGAAACTACTTCAGTATCTATTGAGAACTTTCTACGGACCATCAACTCAACTGGATGTCCTCATTAGTTATGCACAATCTGGTCATAGAGACCCAAATAAATTCAAATTCAAGAATAATTCGTACGTCCCTGGGACATCCTATGGACATTCGATTAATATTCCTCAGTGTTGCTGATAGGTTGTCCTAGAGATGTACTACGGATTTCCTTGGTAGTGCTTGATGATAAATACTGTAGGATTCAAGTATTCGATTGTTGTCCCAGGGACATCCCTCGAGGACGTCCCTAGTTGGTTCTCGAGTGGAACATTTGGGTTTTCCAAAGACGTCCTATCAGGTATATCATACTTTTCTGCCATATGACACCCTGAGAAAGGTCGAACTATAAGTTTAGAGTCAACAACAATATTGTTCTCTGATGTAATAACAAAATTCGAAGAACAATAGGAGACATATATTTTCCATAGATCAACAGCTGAAGCCTTTGGTCAACATAGGTAGTGCTTCAAAATACTCAATTTTCAAGGTTAAATATCTCAGAGAGTATGGCATCTTGGCGCCTATCAACATCCCTTCATCAATCTACATATCTAATTCAGGAACGAAAGATACAGAAGGAAAAAAGCTAAACTAGTATTTTTTATCAACTTTCCACCAAAAAATATTCTGGAAAGAAATATGGTCAAACTTATTTGAGGAACAATATGTATGGAATCTTATTATTCATCGTCTGATATTGTCAAACTCCTTTGTTCAATTTGTTAAATTAATTACGCAATGGGAACTGATAGAAACTTGTTCTCACCTATGCCTATGTTTACTCATAGGATTCACATAGAGCCCATTTTCTGGCGCATGCGCAGCTTCCATGGCCCTATCGGAGAGTGGAGGATGCAAGTAAAACGGCTCAGACTTGTTGCTGTGGTTACTTCCCTGACTATGTTTACTGTCGTGACTTTGGTTGCTATTGTGGCTGTAGTTACTGTAGTTGCTGTGGTTGCTGCGCGTACTGTGGTTGTTATAGGTTCCGTAATGGTTATGACGACTCGCATGGATCGGTGGACTATGTTGGTTTGGGGTGACGTGAGAATGGTTGTGATGACCATTGGTAATTGGCTTTGGTTTGCAGTTGGAACAATCACTAGCTAGACTATTACCCTGTAAACATTTGTGAGTTCAAAATTCCAAAGTCCACCAATATATAATTTCTTATGAAAATATCATTCGAGCTCAATATAGTCTGAGAAACCCTAAGACGATTCACTGATCTTGCTTCGTTCGTATGGACTACTAGAAGTAAACCCAGAAACATGCCAACATTGTAAAGGATAAAAAATATTCGCATCCTTCACTAGGGAGGAAGTTTTACCGATGTATGCGCTATGACACTAGAATGATACCTACAAAAAATTGTTATGCCGCTTTTCAACACAAATTTCGACTTCCACTGCCAGAAGCAAGGCTAGAACGGTAAACGGTAGCTCCAATCAGGAAAAGGTCACTTATCTTTGAGTCAGTACAGCTGACAACAAACTCACAATATAGAAAAGGACATAGTTATCTTTGCATAGGAAGATTTCATTGATGTTATTCTGAATACCAGAGTGCTAAAATTCAATGGTTTGACTCCTATAGACTAGAAGGTGGTAAAGTGTCCGTCTCAAGTATACACTATGTCCAAGTCGTCAACCTTGTTGTTGTAGAACGGCAAAGCTTTGGAATTCTTTGCCAATGACCTAAAACACCTGCCTCCTCTCCCTATCCTCCCTGGGTACGCGCGATTTTTCACGAATATCATAGGAATTTCCAGTCGTGCGCTCCAAGAGAAATAATAATTGGAGAAAAGTTGCGCGGGTGGAGGACCAACAAAATTACTTCAAAAAATCACTGATATGACTTTCCGTTGTTGAGTTATTTCCAAAAAACGTGATTTACGGATTCTCAGTTTCGCTTTTTTCTGGCGTTAATAATGGAGTTATGACAAAACGGAAGACACATTCACATGGCAACTTGGTATCATCGATTTTCTGATCCAACGTTTCATCTTTGAGCAACCATCATCAATTTAATTTTTTCAATGATGGCACTGATATTTTGATATTCGAATAATCCTTTCCACTCTGATTTCAACGATATGCTACATATTGTGGTCTTGATACGTGTCGAGCATAATTTGGCCATCATCAAATAATTTCTGGAATGATGTCCTGAACTTCCCATAATTTTGTGAAACAATGTTGATTCATCAAATTGAACATTCAACAATACTTCATCAACATCATTACGCATTTTAGAATACGTGAATAATCAATGATTCGATAAAAATTACAGTACAGAAATAAACAGATGCACAGATTGAAAACTTCTTTCAACGTCAAAACTTTTAGATACGCTACTGATGAATTCACAAGAGATGTTCAAAAAGATTGCCATTGATTTTCGAACTTGCATATCATCTTCTCACTGTTGACTTCAAAACATACTATTCAGCATTTCTATTACTTTGGAATGCTTCAAGAATTCTGAATTCTTCTGTTCCTAATGCTTGCTCATAGACATAGTTCTTGACATATCCCTATCAGAGCAAGAAGTCTGGCAGGGTCACATCGGGTGAACGAGCTGGCCAGTGCGTTTCAGAGAACGTGCTTATGACTTCTTGTAAATCAGAGTGATTCTGCTGGCACCACCAACAATCCCGAACTTCCGTCAGTGGCAAATCGCCCACAGATACCTTCGTAACATTTTGGAGTAAATTTATAATTATTATTTCATAATTATGTTAAATGCAGGTCCGTATTCCAAAAGTTACTTGGTGTTGGCTAAAATAAGCTCAAGATGCATCAAAACCAAAATATATATTATATCGTCGAATCAGAAAGAAAAGAACTATTCGAATCTGATATCAAAATATCAGGGCCGTATTTTGAAACATTCAAGTTGATAATGGTTACTCGAAGACTGAACGTTGGATCCGAAAGTCGATGATGCCGAATTGGATAGCTACGAATATTGCCATCAATATGTTCTTTTAGTTAAGTCATAACTTTATTATCATATTCCGAAAAAAATAAAATTGAAAATCTGCAAACTTAGTGTTTTGGAAATAACTCAAAAACGACAAGTCATATCAGAGATTTCCAAAAGTGATTTCGTTTCTTCTATTCTCCCATTAAACCAAATCTGTATCTCTTGTATTTTCCGAGATGCTCATGCTGAACCTTCTTATCTTGGGCACATTGTATACGTATTTTATCTCATCCAGGATGATTTTAAGGACGAAAGCTGCAAGGGGTTTTCGAATACTTTGTATTCCGTGTATATCTATTAACGACGTGTATTACGAATATACCTACCTAGTTGATTTTCTTCTTCAATGAATAGTGTTATTACAATAAACTCCTGGGAATGAAATTATCAACTCCCTCAGTCATCAGTGCTCTGATCCACAAAATTCAGTTAAGTTGTGTATATATATTACCCCCTTCATTTGAAGTTGGCGTATTTTCCAAAAAAGCGATTAAAGTTCCATTAAAGCGTAGCAAAATGTTGATAGATCTAAACAGAAACCCTATAATATACAAAATGTATAATAATATATCTATATATTCATATATCTCATAATAATAACAGGAAATATTAAATATGAGTACCATTAGTACTTACTCTCCTGACTCGGTCTCCTTTTCTCGTGCATGAACAACTTTTCCCATTTTTCACTTTCTCTTGTGTGTCGTAGTCTGGCGTTGTTCCATGTTGAACCAGGATATTCAGACACTGAAAAAAAAGGATAATGTACAGGGTGCTTGTTTATATTTAACTCGATAGCTATCTCAGTCAATATTGGTCCTGCAGAAACGTTCAAATGGGCAAAAGTGAAGTATTTTTTATGGGCAATCAGAATCTAGTACTAGAAAATAATAAGAAGCATCGTTGACCTAAAAATTTTACATGAACTGGTATTTTTCGAATAGAACATCCTGTTTTTCGTTTTTCCGAATGGTGTAGCTCTCTCTTCTGATTTCAAATAAATATACTTTATTGATGTTATGTTCGCCAGAAATCGGAGCATTGTCGTCTGGCGTTCAAAAACTCCCTTTGGTCTATCTATACCATAAAATCTATATCTTTCAAAAATCGACATAAGATAACCTCAATAAATTATATATATTCGGAATCAGGAAAAAAGCTCTACCGTTGAAAAAACAAATTGCAGGATGTTCCATTTGAAGAATTCCAGTTCATGTGATATTTTCAGGGATATGGTTTTGCCATATTCTAGTACCAGATCCTGAATGCCCATAAAAAATATTGTATATTCAGAAAATTTTACAAATCTGAGTTATTTCTAGAAAAGTGAAATGATGTTACTTATGTTAGTTAGGAAGACCTAATAATTGAATGTGATCAAACAAAATTCCCACCATGCATCAGACATGGATGAATGAGAAAATATTTTGAGACCTGATATTACCGAATTTGATAATATTATGAAAAAATGCAACAGGCGAGCGTTGCAAGGGTTGCTCGTATACACATTGTTGATTATCATAGATCCGGTTGCTGAACAGATTGTAAACTAAACTTGTGAAGAAGTCCATATTGCTCAAAGTGGAGTTTTAGTGTTTGGAAGAAGAGTAAATCTCAAAATCATCTCCACGACACTTAATAGACGAATATAGTTATGTTACAAATGGGAGGAACAAGTTTCGGGCTTTTAATAATCCCATCATAAGCCAAGGTTTATAACGTCATGAGGATGAAAACATGTTCTTCAAAGTTGTGGAATCATATTGAATCAAATAGTAAACATAAAATATAAATTGGTATTTTCATTTCAAGAGGGACCTGTACCCTCTGAGATACCCTCAGGTTTTCATGAGGTAAAAAACCAAAATGTTAATGAAATTTGGAAAAACCCACATGAGTATAGGACTTGAGAGATGATAGTGTGGAAGAGTTCCTCATCACGAATCTCATCTTGATGTTATAATGTTCGATATTGTACATAGCTCCCATAAAAAAATAGAGATAACATACTCGTGAATCTTGAAATTCATATGGCATAATATATGCTACTTTATTCCATGTTCGTTATGTAATATACTTTTACCTCAACTTGTTGGTTCTCAGCAGCATCATTTATGGGACTCTTTCCATACTTGTCCAGTGATAGACGAGCTCCATGCCTTAGCAACCAACGAACTGTGTCTAAATGGCCTCTGGAAGCAGCAAAGTGCAGAGGTGTCGCTCCATCTCCGTCTCTTAAGTTTGGGTCCACACCCTGTTCTTGTATCTATAATAAATTCCAGCTAATATCTATCTCCACTTACTATGATCTATTAATATAGGCGAAGTATGGGGTGCAAGGAATCCTATAGGAACGCATGGCTAGAAAATTTCAATTTCGATCGAAGAACGAAACACTCCTGAGTTTGCAGACTCTAACTGTGGATACTTTAGTAAATCCTACAGGACTGTCCGACTCATACTTCATCAATGGTGAAAATCGAGAAACGCTTCTCGGGCTTCAACTCGGCGATCTGGAGAGCGATAGTTAGACGACTCTATACGCTTCCATAGAGCATCATGACATCTCAAGGTCGAATAGCTATTGCGTGACAAGACAACGCTGATCAAGTGCACGAGTGGAGTTGGTGCTGAGCCAGAGAAGGCTTTCTGCTTGCAGGATATGCCTCCTATTTTGACTTTGAGGAAAGTTTTATGATAAATGTCATAAAATCACCTTATTGTTTACACACAATTTGAAGAGTTAGAGTTAGTTGTCAGGATATTACTTTTTCATCAGTTTATGAAATAATGAATTAGGTGCATCAATATTATGAAGTTAACATACCGAGTATGAAATATTTCGATCCGTTGAATATATTATTGAATGTACATAAAGTAAGGTGGGAAAAAACGAATTTAGAGATTTTCTGTATCTATGCATTGAAATCTAAAAAACAGCAACAACAAAGGGAAGTGGACCGTCAAACATAATATGGAGAATCAAAATACTATAACAGAACTTTCGTATGCATGTGATCTGAATATTGAACAATCCATGAAATATGCTTTCCTCAGTACCCATCGCACTTTTGTTCAAAGTCCTAATTTGCAGTTTCTCTGAATTGAAAATTTCTGAGAATATCAACGTTTCTTTCTTAAAACACTATCAAGAAATGATTAATTTTCTAATTTATTCAGCAATTATTATTTCAACTCTGGGTGAATTTTTGTATGTGATTCAACAAGTGTATTGTTGATTATCGAAATACGAATCCCTTCGACCTTGAGAAACAAACTATGTTGCTTGGCAACCAACCTAAAAGAATTATTATTTGTTTCGAAATATAGTAGTAAAACGAGTTGTATTTGCTCAAACTATTACACTCATCATTTCATGATGAATGAAACAATTATATCATGTCATATTTCCATTTGCAGTCGGTGCGTTATTATGTAATTTCGATTCATCGATATCAACTAGAGACAGGATTGGTGCGTCTCGATTAGTTATGAGAAAATTCTGACTGAATTATCTCAACGTGCGAAATGTTCATTTAGATCTTCATCTGGAATGCCCCATGGCTCACCCATACCAAAGATCGTGTATGATCTTTGCTTGTACGCAATAGTAGTTCTTCCTAATTTTCAAATACAAGACAAAAAACTGCCAATGGAAACGCTTCGAAATAAGACGTAAACTCACCATCCATTTGACACAATTCAGACATCCCATCTGACTAGCAGCATGAATCGGAGCCATACCATCCTTGGCACGCACGTACAGAGAACCTCCCGCTTCTAGAACCAGGAACTTCAACACTTCCAAGTGTCCTTCTTGAGCTGCTAGATATACAGGAGTCACGTCGTTGTCCATTTGAGTATTGGCACTGGAAAGAAATAGATCAATGACATCTTGGTTCATTTTACAGAACCTATATCCCAAGAGCCAGCTGCAAATTCCGACCGTCATCTGATAGCGATGTGATATATGTTCCAAAGGCATGTAAAAACATCGTAGTTTATCGAACGGCACCTGTGCCATTCATTTCCTGAGCGAAATGATTGAGACGATTGCACTTTCCTGTGCGGTGCACTCGATTTCGCGATTTGAAAACAAGATAGGAGTTATGCCATTCGATACCAATTGAATGGTAGATTTCGAAAACCGCAGCGAATTATTTGCTGCTATTATTCCGGACATACTTCCGTCATGTTATTACAAGTTGAAACAATAAGCAAATAAAAGGAGATGATGCCGCGATTCAAACTGATCCACGTTAGTGGCAGAGCGTCAATACTTCCTAGAATATTTCGCCTCCCTCTGAAGATGATATCCGATGGACCAGTGTAAAACTCAACATTCGGATTAGAATACTTGTAGTGTGAGCACTACTTGAGTTCCACACTGGTCCATCGAATATTATCTTTCGACGAGGGCGAAATATTCAGGGAAATATTGACGCTCTGCCACTAACTTAGATCAGTTGGATTCGAGACACGTTTGTATATTCGCAAATGGTACATTTCTCCCTTTCATTTGCTTTTTGTTTCAACTCGTTATCACATGACGGAAGTATATCCGCGGAATAATAGGAGCAAATAATTCGCTGTGCCGTTGATTTGGCTCAGACTGAGGGGTGACACAAGTAGGTTTTTGATATCTACCATCAAATTGGTATCGGATGACAAAATTCTCAACTAGTTATCAAATCGCGAAATCGATTGCAAATTTCCGCACAGGAAAGTGCTATTTTTTATTCATTTTGCTCAGGATAGTGATAGGCACAGGTGTCGTTCGATGAACTACAATGTTTTTAGATTCTTCTGGGACATATCATCTCGTTATCAGATGACGGTAGAAATCTGCAGCCTGCTCCTACTACTATGACAATATGCATTCCACATAATATGAATGAGAATCTGAATATACAGTGTATGCCATTTCAACCAGCAAAACCCTCCTGATCTAAAACCCGTCCACTGATTATCAAAAACAAATATCCCATTATACAGGGTGTTCCTTGAAGTCATGCTAATATATCCTTTGATCCATTTTGAGATGAAAACTACCTATGAATATATCTCTCAAAAGTACTAACTTTTGAGATACAGAGCGATAAAGTTTTGAAAAAAGAATCAGTTTTTTAATAATGACTGAGATAATATTTCAGACATCTCCACCAAATTTGATACATGTATTCTATATGTCAAGGTGCATTTTCTGATGTACACAATTTTCATTTTCTCTACCAGTGGCGTCGTTTGGGGGATATTATTGTTTACATTTCACTCAAAAGTGAGCATCGAAGGAAAATTTACAAATTTCATTTAATCCTAAATGCCATTCAATTCTGTACAAATTAAGATCCTCCTGTTGATACTCGATAGAACGCTCCGTTTTCGAGAAAAAACGGAAAAACGAGACCAGACTTCAAATTTTGATGTACATGCCAAGCTGAGTAGTCCATGCAGGACATCAGTTACTAGATAAACACAGTATGTAAAATTTAGAAATTTGAATTTAAGCCAATTCGATTTTGGCATTCAATGGCAAATTCTGATATTCTCATTTCAATAGACCTCAACACTGTTTTCTTTGAACTGTTGAAATAATCAACCTTTTTTCTGATTCAGACATGTGAAAAATAATGTAGCATGCCTCGAAAATTGAAAATATTCTGCTGATATAAGGTTCTCAGGTCTCAATTGGGTCATACAGCATCAAATGTAGGAAATACTTCTGAAAATACTCTTCTCATAATATATCAATTATTGAGGTTGTTTCTAGTTGTTTCCCAGATTTTCCATGACAATTCAAATCAAGAAACTCTATATTGAAGAAGTCTGATGATAATTTGCTTCGATTACTAAGAGTCCATGTTGTAATTAAACACTGCGACTAGAAAACCTATCCAACAATAGTTGTATCATTTCTGAATGTAGGTAATTTATGTTCCAATACAGTTTACAGCAATTATATGCAAACGTTTAGCAATAATCTGGTGAATTTCATCTCGCAAAAAAATGAATTGATTTATTACGACACAACCTGTAATTCTATGGATCCAGAAAAATTTCAAACAACTAGTCTATCTCCCCATCAGTCCATTCACTAACCGATTCTGCAAACCGATTGTTGCCTTCACAAGGTCGATCGGGATAATAATATACGCGAACAAAAACGAGCAAAAATCATTTTCATTAATGAGGAAACGGCATTTATAATACTTTCGACCGGAACGTTTTTTGATCTACCTACAGTGAATATTATTCTAATAGCTGCAACAATTTCGTCACCTTCATTTATCGTTCAATAATTATATACAGTGACGAATCGATCGATGCAGTGAACAGATAAATCTTTGTAATAATAATTATTATACCGGCAAGTAAGTAAGTAGTTTAATGTAAAATATAAATAGAATTCAGCTCGACTTATTCTGAATTCAATTATTTGGTTGAAACTAAAAGAGTTTGCAATGAAATTAGAAGTTCTGAAGATAAATTGTTTGATCAATATTTGGGAAAGGATATTGTTGATAACTATCTATGATTAGGGATTAGTGATCAAGTTTTGATTCATAGGAATATAATAGATCGTCAATCAACCAAATTTTCATAATATCAGGCAGATGCTAGATCAGAACTTTCTTCGTTCGTTGGCCTACTACAGGGGTTCTTCACATAGTAATTTTTACGATCAATGGGTTCGAGATTATTGAGGCAGATTGAGACAGGCGGCTGACTGAGATTGTAGACATTAGAAAACCATATAGATAGTTACTGAGACATAATATTCAGGTAATATAGTCAGGCAGAGGTTACAGGCAACACAATCAGAGTTTGCCTAAATTTCAAATTGAACATTGTTTTTTCACTGTTCACTTTTGTTTAGTTGGCGAGAGGTTCACTTCACTTTCACGACTAAGTCACAAAAGGTTACAGTTTACAATAGATTCACCCTTTCAATGTTCAGACAAGTAGTGAATGGTTAATTACACAGGTGATATTAACGAAGTTCACTGGTAGCACTGGGTACTGTCCGAACGAAGCATGTTTGATAGACAGATACTAAGTCTGCTGGAGACGTTCTGTATTGAGTCACGTTTGAGAGTCAACATTTTGAATTCTGCTCAATAGATTCAATGATTGAATCCAATCATTCCCAAGGCTCACTAACAAAACTTTCAACTAACACAACGGATATAAAGACATCGTATTGGAGGCTGAGTAAGACTGCTTCAAGAATAACTTCAGTTTGTCTCATTTTATTCGGATTGTCCCTGCTTTTATACAGAATTTTGGCAATGAATTATGTGATAATCAGTTGAATATAAGACAAGTTCCATGTTGTGTTTATATTAGGCAAAATTTTCCATAGATTTTGGAGCGATAAATTATGGATGTTGGGATTAATTTGTCTGAATATATCTAAACTGTCACTAACTATATTTTTCCACTAACCCTTTTACAAGCAATAATTCAATGTGGTTCATGATTCTCATACATTTTTCTTGTCTTCAATTTGCACAAGCGATATGATTTCGATGTAACTTGTTGGATATACACAGTCCACTGTGTACGTAGACGAAAATGAAATATAAACCAATGTATTTATTATCGTTGAATATCCAGAAATGTCGACAGTGCAGTGTACAGTGTCGACACGAGGGCCACATTGAATTTGTTCATTTAAAATATATAAATGAAAGCAATGTGTATGGTATAGATGAGGAGAGACTGCTTACTAAGCATATACGTATGTACTTAGTTTTCCTAGAGACGTTTTCTCCCAGTAAACACACTCACGTCAAGAAAACGTAGTAAAATTACCACAAACGGTCGGTTGAAATAACGTTCAATGGAATCTTTTCAACAAAAAATGTATTTTCAACCACTGATTTCAACGTAAATATCTGTTTGAAACCGGTGGGAACTGCCCGGTTCTCAACGAAACTTTTCACGGGGAATAAACGTGGCATATCAACGTTTGAACAAGTTGAAAAAAAAATATATTTCAACTTTCACTTCGGATCAATTTTTAACCGACGAATTTTCGGTTTTTCGAACGTTTCTTCAACGTTTTAGTCAGATTATTTTTTTCAGTTTTTTTGTGTCTACAATCATTTTATCAACATTCTCATAATTACTATAATAATTATTATTATACCTCACTAACCTGCTATGTTGTCCATGTATTTCCCTTTCCTGAGCTGTTCCACTTTCTTCTTAGTGAGGTGCCTATCTCTCCGTATCCCTATTTGAATTTGTTCGACTACTCGTATTTGTACCTAAACTCTTGGTGTGAGCGTCGGCGAGATGTAAACAGATTGAATACAAGTTATTTAATGACGGTTAACTAACGTTGTTGGAAAACATATATTTCACGTTTTTTTTGCTCTCAACGGTTATGAAATACTCTCAATGAAAAGTTTGATCAACGTTTATTTCAACAGTTCAATAAACGTTTCGAAAAAGAGTTAGTTTACCGTGAGAACTCTGCCGAAACAATGAAAAATAGTTTACCATGTGGAATACACGTTTTTGAATGACGGTACGGTTCTTAGACTCATAATTCTGAAAATTTGTAGAAAAAGTGGAGGGAAAATGGAAACTCCAACTTGAAGATTTTCATCATCGTCAAACTTTCGGTTTTGTCAGGAGGTGAAGTTATTCTTGTTAATTCCAATAGGACACCTTGTTTTAGAGTTGATGGAATTTTTGCAAAGTAAGTGATAAATGTCAATCGAACATACGCCATTTTCATATGAATTGATCAAATGACGTATCAAGTAACTCAAAAGTTATAAATATGTGAATTTGAAACGTTGAAGTAAACGAGACATTGTTGTTTGAATCTATTACTTTCATGACGTTATAAACAGGTTA